TACAAATGAATCGATTGACAGAAACATTTCACGAAGCCATATGTTCAACGACATATAATGAACTGCAATTGTTTGTCCAAGTTCACATTCGGGATATGATTAAAAAAGTAACACAAAAGAAACGGGATTTAACGAAAAGGTTTGTACTCAAGTTCGATGTGCAATGATAATGTGATTGATTCTTTAGTATTCTGATTGCGGTGAGAGATACATGTGTGGATTGGTTTACTGGAAGTGGTGAAGCTAATTCGATCGAAGAAGCACTGGCATTAGGTCTGAAATTGAATCAGAATCATGGAAGTAAAAAAGATCACAGTGAATTAAATCAACTGAGATTCAATAAACGTTGTGTGGGACCATCGAGTACTCAGGTTTGTCAATTAGTTATAGAACGAAATCTAATGAAACTATGGACTTTCTTTTAGCTTTATATGGTTCGAACAATGATTGAATCACTTTTAACAGATAAGAGTGGCTACGGCAAACGAACTTTAAGAAAAGATATTGGTAAGTCAACAGCGACTCTTCATGCCATGAGGATTGTACGTTCTATTAAAATTGATTTTGACTTCAGATTATACGCATCTGTCATTGATTGAACAATTCCATAAACAGTCATTCTTTTGGGATTATCTCCTCAATTTCGATGGTAAATTTTATTTTAATAATTTTTTAAATTGTACTATTTATTGCCATTTAGCCACATTGAAAAAGTGTGCTGATTTAAGTCAACTTTGGTATCGAGAGTTTTACCTTGAATTAACCATGGGAAGAAAAATTCAAGTAAACAAATCATCTTTCACTTCTATTTTTATTGGATCAAAATCTTCTCTTCTTCATTTGTAGTTTCCGATTGAAATGTCAATGCCATGGATTCTTGCTGATCATATTTTAGAATCAACGAAACAACCAATGATTGAGTAAATTTTCGAAGAATTTTATTTGATGCTGAAATCTTTCTCTCCAATCGATTAGATACGTGTTTTATCCAATGGATCTGTACAATGATGCTGCTATGCATGCACTAGTCGTCTTTCGTAAACAATTTTTATATGACGAAATCGAAGCTGAAGTTAATCTATGCTTTGATCAATTGGTTTTCAAATTGAGCGACAAAATTTTCACTCATTTCAAGTGTCTAGCAGCTTGGTAAGCTTATTATTTATTTGACTAAAATCTTTTGTTGAGTTAACTCTATACAATTTAGCATGTTACTCGACAAAAGATATCGTTCGGAATGTCATATGAACGGAATCAAAGTCGTCTTTCCGTCAGCCAATCGTTACGATTCGTTACTTAAACAGCGTCATATTCAAGTAAGAAAACGCCGCTCAAATCTTCTTCATTACCATCAACTATCATTTAGCTTCTCGGTCGTTCAATCGACCTAACGTTTCTACTAACTCAACGTTTAACATTATCTTTTAAAAAATCACTTGAAACTGCTATTCAACGCTTCGAATCTGTTAACATAACAGGAGTCATGGTAAGTTACTCTAAACTTCGAATAGTTTTCGTATTCCGTATTTATCCTACAGGAGTTGCAATGTCTACTCGAAGTGAATCGTTTGACTCATGAACTACTCTCATCTTACTTAACATTGGATAGTTTCGAAGCACTTGTCAATGAAGTTAATCACAGTGTTGCAAGTGCACTTGGCCGTATAACGCTACATATTTTCTGGGAATTAACTTATGATTTTCTTCCACACTATTGCTATAATGGAAGCACAAATCGATTTGTTAAGACACAGCAACCACATGTTAATGAAACCACACGAGAAAAAATGTCACGAGAAATCCCTGATGTTCAACTATATGGAACAAGGGAACTTAATCAAGCGTATGATATTGTTAACAATCTCTATCGAGGATTTGTCGGTGTCCAACATTTCCGCGCAATGACTCGATTACTTGGTTATCAAGGTATTGCGGTAGTTATTCAAGAAATGTTGAAAGTGGTCAAGAATTTGGTATGAACTTGGAAAGAATGTTTTCGAAAGATTGCGTCTTTTCCTTCTAGTTGGATAAAACAATTCGTGAGTTCGTGGAAAAACTACGCGCTTGTATGCCGAAACAATGCAAACTCCCACGCTCTGATTATGGATCACCGGGTAAAGATTTCTGTCGATAGTTGATTTTATAATTACATTCTCCTTTATACAGCGATTCTCCAATATTATCTTCATCAACTTCATGAAATAATACATTATCCGGCATTACAAGACGTATTTCATTGCTTTCGAGAACTTGGAAATGCGATTCTGTTTTTTATTATGATTGAACAAAGCTTGGTAAGTGACAAGATTCATTTACTACTTATTAGTAGTGTGTACGTGTTTTGTAGTCTCAAGAAGAAATCAAAGATCTATTGCAAGCAGCACCGTTTCAAAACCTTATTCCACGTCCGTACGCCAAAGAAGGAGAATCACTTGAAGCAAAAATTCGACGACTTGAAGCTAAATATGCTGCTATGTCACTCGTGAATATTATTAAAAAACTTGGCACAGAAAAGGTCAGTAATACCGTCGATACGATACTCGAAAGATATTCATCACGATGCTTTTTGTTTTTAGCAAGGAAAACTTGTCGAAGAATCTGATCTATTAACACGCGAGCGTCTTTGTATTGGTTTGACAACATTTGAAGTGATGCTTGATCGCATTCGTTCGTTTCTTCTTGACGATCCTGTATGGACAAATAATTCAGCGTCAGCAATGAATAGTAATATAAGTCCATTGACAAACATCGATGATACACATGACTTTCATCGTATATGGAGCGCATTGCAATTCGTCTACTGTTTACCAGCACGTCATGAAAATGATTTGAACGTTGAACAACTATATGGTGAAGGTTTAAATTTTGCTGGCTGTACAATCATACGTTTATTGAATGAGCATCGAAAATTTGAAACGTTCGATTTTACTTACCATCTGTTCAAAATAAATCGAAGCGACCAAAAAGAAGATGAAGTTAAAAATGTGGTAAGAATAGAACATCTTTTTATAATTCATTCATTGACTTTTATTTTTACTGCATATATTCAAGTCTTTACCAACGTTTACGGAACGCATACGGAAATTTCAAATACTTAACCAACAAATATTTGCTTGCCTCAATAAATATTTGTGTCATACTACAACAGATGAAATACCTGTCGAACAAGTGAAGTGTCTAACGCCAATGACATTACAAACAATTCAGTATGTAAAAATAGTTTTGTCGTAAAGAATCTAGAATTACTTTTTTTTGCGATTAAATAGATCGTCAATGCCAATTTATCAGCATAATCGTCTTCCAGGAACAACAAGCGAATGCTAGTCTATCTTCATCCACTAATCTAATCATTTTTCCTGTATATACAAATATCGTTGTGTGTGGTGTGCTTTTCTCTCATTCTTTGTAATTCAAATTCGACCTAAATAAAAAATAAATATCTATTCTATGTTCTTCTAGATGGTTGTCTTGTTTGATCATGAGTTATGAAAAGGAACGATTTGTATCTTTTGTTCCTATGAGTTCAAGGCGACAACCAATCTCAACAAAATTCAAATTACGTTCACCTGAATATATTGCCGGCTTTCTTTCATCAGCTACCAATATTTTACTAACTTATCCAGTAAATAAATTAATTTTCCGCCAACAAATCTATCGCCTTAAAACAGTTGACGCATTTCAACAACTGAAGGATGAAGGTCTCCTTGTTCTCTACCGTGGTATGGCCTTACCATTGATACAAAAAACATTTTCTTTAAGTATTATGTTCGGTGCTAATGCACACTATCTACATATACTACAATCATTTTCAAAAGCTGACCATTGGTATCATCAACCTATAGCATCTGCTTTAGCTGGTAGCACCGAAGCTGTCCTAACGCCACTAGAACGAGCGCAAGTTCTACTTCAAACACCGAAATATAATGCAGTGCTTCGCAATGGTTTACATGCCTTTATATTGATGTATAAGCATTATGGTATTATAGAATATTATCGTGGTGTAACATTGATTCTGATTCGAAATAGTGTCTCGAATATTATATTCTTTGCCTGTCGAAAGCCTGTGAAAGATTTATTACCTTTAGCTTCAACCGATTTTCAACATTCACTTTATGATTTTTTAAGTGGTGGCTTATTAGGTGCACTTCTATCTACGTTTACATATCCGATAAATGTTTTGAAAAATATACAACAATCTGAACTGGGTGGTCGTCACGATCGTCCAATAAAAATATTTCGTTTAGTCTATGAACAGCGTGGAAATTCATTTAAAGAATTTTATATTGGTGCCAAATGGAATTTCATACGTAGTCTCGTATCGTGGGGAATCATCAACAGTACCTATGAGTACTATTTGACAGTATTCCAAAATACGATCAACGGTGATGACTGATAGTGTCAAGTGATCTGAGCCGAACATCTTGTACACTGCCAGTGACCCTTGCATGAATAGTTTGCCAAACGAATGTGAAAGGAAATGAGACATGAGAGAAACGACAATCGGGTATATTTTTAGTTTACTTTTATCAATGTGTTTTGCTACTCATCGATTTGTGTGTATAATCCCCGTGTTTTTTGTTCATGTCTGTTTCTTTTGTTGTGTGTACATAAAATATCGATGACGATGTTCCAAGAGTCAATAGTCCATGAACTGCATCTGTTAGCCTGAAACTCTACCAAGAAAAAAAAAAAGATAAATAATAATGAATGAACAAAAGCTAACAAGACAACTTTGTTCTTCCAACTAAATTTCATCAATAGTTCGTTGAAATCAAGTTTCAAGATAAATTTATGTTCTTAGTGTAGCATGATCAGCGAATAGCTAGCTTTACCTACTTGTGCACGATTTGACCACATCGATTTGCGACATCTACTTTCTTCGGTTTCTCATAACAACAGAGGTAAATGCTAAGTGACACGTCGCTTCAGCTCTCTTCAGCATTTCATTCTCTATCTGTCATCTTCACGTGCTTTACTTTCCAAAGAAAACAAAGTCAACCATGGTGTTCAGTAAGTCATCGTTCATTTCACATCAATCTCAAACATCTGACTTACCCCGATTTTCGTAGTTACCGAAAGTCTTATACGAAAACGAGCGGAACATAACGAGGGCGAGTTATCGACACTTGAAGAAGTGTCACTTCATCAACAAGATATTGAACGGTAAAACATACGACTATTTTACTTTGCAAACAATGTACACACCCTACTGCCTCTTTGCAGAATCGAACATTTAGACAAATGGTGTCGAGAATTACGTATTCTCTATTTACAGAGCAATCTCATTTCCAAAATCGGTACGATTCATGAGACCAAACGCATCTCATCGTTTGTATTCGTTTTCGACTTTGCATAGAAAATGTCGGTCGATTGAAAAAGCTCGAGTATCTCAACTTGGCTCTAAACAACATAGAATACATCGAAAATCTCTCAGGTAACTAATCATACCCAGACAGAATCGCTCAGTCATAAACACTATTTCTAGGATGCGAATCATTGAATAAACTAGATTTAACATTGAACTTCATCGGAATATTGTNCTTGATTATTCATAGATTTTACAACTCGTCTTATCAGAAGAAGTAAACACAACACGTTCTATCGCTGAGCGATCCAAAACAACAGGACATCTAGTCATTACCATGCCCAAGGTAGAAATCAGTGATCTATTCCATAGTTTTCTCAAACTATTCTTTCCAGATCAATGTTAAAGAATCCAGAACAACAGAAATCAAAAGTGAAGAGAAGAAAAGGTATGGAAGTAGATTTTTTTCATACTCACATCTCAGCTGTCTTGTTTGCCTACACTCTATAGTTCAACTCCATCGAATTATCTTGAACTTGATTCTCGACCAGCGAAGAGCGTTGATTACACTCAGATTATTAGTCAAAACAAAAAGAATGCGCAATTGAAAACAAGAGCAATTCCACAAAAAGAACGAGAGAATTCTGCTAATTTTATTGATGATCCTGACGTGCCGCCACTGATCTGATCAATCGCCCAAGTTGTTACTAATTTTTATCGATAAAATCGCGAGTGAATATTAGTCTTAAAATCTTCACGTTTGAAATGTCGTCAGTTACGAGGTTTTCGAATTTCAAAGAAATAAACAGGAAAATATAGGGAAACAATGTTGGTATAGACACATGTTGATTTGATGTGGTCAATGTTGCGAATCTCTACAACGATGACCGAATATCGCGTGTATTCGCCCACCTCCTAATTCATAAACCGCTACCTTTATTTGTGCACGCACCCACAGATTCAAACTTCTCACCCTGAATATATTAAGTACTTATTATCAGCGTATGATACAATTAATATGTCTTTTATAATAATAGCTTCTGATTGAAGATGACGCTACACTACTGCTCATCTATGAGCGGTCATTGCTCATTGACTTTTTTTTTTATTTGAATCGTTCAGATAGGAAATGTATTGTTGTCAATCGACAAATTGTTTATTTAACGATTGTAAGGAGAAACTTGTTTGCCGTTCATCACAATGCTGCAATTTGAAGACGTTTCAAACGATTTAATTCTGTGTGTTTGGGATCATTTAGTGACTGCTGATGTTATATATAGTTTCTCCAATCTGAAACAGTCGTGTCAACTCGTTGTTATCAGAATTTTGTGGGCTCTTCAATCAGTTGGATCTGCGTTATTGTTCTTTACCAGCGTGTCGTTTCTTTTGTCGTCAAGTAACAAATGTGATTGAGTGGCGTCTCAACCTCACTGTTCTTAAATTAGGCAATCGTTATCGATGTTCTGAAACAGATATGTTAGCTGAGGAGATAATCAAATCATTTGTCCCAAATCATTTTGCAAAGATAGAAAAACCATATGATGACGTATCGGAAGATATTTTTCGAAGCTTAATAACAAATGGCAGGAACATACCACCGATATTTCCTCGATGGATTTCTTTGGTGGTTGACCAGCCAGTACCTATTAGTGAAGTTTATCGAGACGCTCTATTATTTTCTGTAGCTAATGGATCGTTATTGCGTAGTTTTACTTGAAATTCATGTGCTAATCAAACTCATTATTCAAGCGCTTTTTTCGATTGGCTCTTTCGATATTCGGCTAATCTTGTTAATTACAAACTACAAACCGCACCAGATACAAACGGTTTTGAGCTCAAGTATGATCATGCAACCCATGTAAAAAAAGAGGCAAAACACCCGATGATAATCGATTTTTTCGGAAGAATCCATAAAATCAGATTATATCCCAAAATTCTGATTAAATACGAGGAAAAATAGATTACCGCCGATTATCTCATAAACAATCCGTTAAAATCGATTAAAAACCACTATAAAATTGATTGTAATTGATTTTTGTCTAAAAAATCGATTCTCTTGAGATAAAGTACAGAAAATAATAGATTCTAATTGATTTTTCAACAGTAATTTTTTTTAACCGATTTTCCGAGTGGTAATCAGTTCTAAGCAATTTACTAAATAAAGAAAATGATTTTCTCTGATTGAGTTGCAAAAAAGCTGTTTTAATTGATTAGTATCTGGAAAATCGATTCAAATCCTTTAAGTTATTTGAAATCATAAAAAATAATTATAATCGTCAAAAATCGTCATCGATTTTAATCACAAAAAGAAAAAAAACGAGTTTTTCTCGAATATTCAACTTTCAGAAAATCTTCTAAACCTTTTTTTCGGAATCCTCGCATCGACAAATAGTGACTCGACAGTGGAGTAGCCTGTGATATCCTTGAGATAGTGACAGATGCGATATAGTTTCATACTCACTCACTTAGGAAAAAATTGATTTTTTATTACAAATTAATTAAAATCAGATAATGAAAAGCAGATCTATTAAAAGCTATTCTCTCCAAAATAACCGATCTTAACTGATTTTTTTTCGATTTAAAATCTGATGACAATCAGATGAAAATCGTGTCATTTAAATCGATTTTTCATCATAGAAGAATCGATTAAAATCAGGTTTTCCCTTGGTTCTTTTTACATGGGTAGTATGTCGCATTCAAACAATAATGACGATCGAAAATTGAATTATCCAAAAAATCTTCGCGTAATGAATTTGAGGTAAACTTCTTCGATATCTTTTTCTGTTGCTATTGATTTTCTTTCAAGGTACTTTTCGATTGAAGAACAAGACTGTAGTTGTCTTGAGCGATTAGTCGATAAATTTAGCGAAACGTTAGAGAAATTCTCTTTATTTTTAATTCATTATTGTCGTGGCGACATTAACATGTGTTTCAATGGTTGTCGCCTAGCCACTCTTTGCAAGAAGCTATCTCGTTTACAATCAATTCATTTTGCTATTCATATTCCACTTATGGAAAGAGCAGCTCATCAGATATTATGTGGTTTCATTTAAGAGTTTCGCACACCTTTTTGGCTCGGTGGGCCATTGGGCTGCATACAAGTGTGCGTCAACTATCATCAAATAAATCGGTGCGTGCAAATGTGTTCTCTTCCATATACATTCACCGGCAGTATTCTATTTCATACGATTGACCTCATTGACGCATTGTTTAACAACATTGAAGAAGAAAAGCACTTGCATCTCTATGGTGTGAGACAAAATAGTTGTTTATCTCGTTTACTGAGAATCAAAAGATACCAATTTGTTTTCTTCGCGCACTTCACTGTCCATCTAGTCAAGGTAATTGAAGGAGATCATTACTGGAAGCATGTTTTCTAATGTAGTCACATTGTTCTTCTAGATAAAGTTTTGGTAATATCATGTGAAAGCGGAATATTGCCAGACAAAATAGACGACCAGCTACAATTGACACATTTCAGTACATTACAATTAAACAGTTCGTTTGATTTCGACAATACTTATGATTTTGCACGTACGTTGAGATTTATGTTAGTTAATTTTCAAAAAGAAAACACACATATCGATCGAAAAACGAAATTTTTTTTTCTCATTTTACTTTAGAATCAATTGCTTGGTTTCGTTTACTACCAAAGGTAAAGTGTCTTTATGTTAATTCAACTGAACTAAAGCATTGGTTCACAATTGATCATAACAAACAGCAGCTTCTCAATACATTTCTTAGACAACTTGATCAACTGTAGATAAATTGCTCGCTGCTTATTAACATAAATCAGAATGAAGAAATTATGTTACCACTTCTTTCTTTTATTATCAATGCACAATGTTTTCCCAATTTGAAGTATTTACGTTTTGTTAGATGCAAATATATCTCATCATCATGGATCAATATTAATCAATGGATTGAATTTATTTTCCTTCATATTAATGAACATCAATTTAAATGTTTACGCTTTGATTTTATTGAAAAAGAAAAAGAGCTGCATGATGTGAAAACCACTGATGAACTTATCAAAACGACTGAGTTTTTATGTACTACTAATATTCAACGATTTGCACCAGAGAATCATATTTCATATTGGATAGAACGAAAGTAAAGACAAAATTTCGTACACCCTTATTATGAGTTTGTTCTGTATATCATAAGATCGAACGCTGTTCGTCGTTTTTGAATTATACTCATGGTAACAAAAGATGTTTGGTGTACAAATCGGTCTCCTCTTTTTGATTTTCTTCTCGCACTGTTCGTATGCAAACATTTTTCTTACCCTCTTCAATGATTTTAAACTATTGTTTACCAATACATAATGTATGTTGCATAAAACAATCAAACAAAATAGAATACAGTGAAAGATGAACATGAATAATTACGAAAGTTCTAATAAAATCGAGATAAATAGGTAATATTTATTCGCAAACTGGCTAATGTTTTGTATGATACTTTGAAAAAAAAGTGAAAACTTTAAAGAATAACCATGCATTAAATATTTTACTTAAGCTCTAATGGATCCACGAAGACTCTATCAAAACGAATTTATTATATTTGTGAAATGTCTATCATTCATTTTGCGAACGAATGGGAAATTTGCTTTGTTAGAAGAATCATCGCTTCAATGATTCTGATCTACTTGATTCGGTGGTTGCCCAGTTGCCCAGGTTATTATGGCACGGTCGGTTCCGGCCGGTTAGTTTCGTTTTCCGACCATTTCCTTGCCGCCGGATCCGACTCAGATTTCAACGGATCCAGTTGCCGGAATGATCGACCTGGGTGCATGTGTTTGGTAAGTGTGCCCGTAACCAGCCATTGATGTTGTTGCCATGGAATCGTATTGCACGGTGTTGTTCTGAGCAGTGGACGGCAGTTTATTTTGCACACTTTTCGACTCGACGCTAGACGAACTGCTCGCCGAACTTCCTTCGGAAGTTAAATCAGATGATGATGAATTTGAAGCCATCAGCTAGAACAATGAGGTTTTAGCAAGTTTAAAAAGAAATGTTCGATGTGTGTCAAAGTATTTCGTTTTTGTCTTATTTTTATACAAAATTTCGGAAGAACTAAGTTTTTATAGTTACCTCGAGAACAAAAATGAAGATTGAATTGAATGGACAACGTAAAATTTATTGTTAACAACAATAATTGTTGAGAGTGAATGTACCCATCGTGAGTATTTATAATCGATGAATAAATAGTAACGGAGAGAGAGAAAGGGTGGGAAAATGCGGGACGCGTCTGAAAAACGTTGCAGTACGAAATATCTTCACATTTAGATAATATGCAAGGGGGAACATGTTTGAAACGTCATTCTTAACTGTTTGCTTTCTACGCAGTAGTCAATGTACTATCCAACCATATAAGAATCGAGTAACGATTTTCCTTTACCACTTCTGAAGTGGATTTATTCGTGGTTGACAGGTCGAACAATGTCTATACATGTGGGTGACGCGGTCTCAAAGTCAATTGATATTTTTGTTGGGGCACCGCAAGGATCAGTCCTCGCGGCTACGTTGTTTCGTATTCACGTCCATTTTCTCCCTTCGCGTTCTTCATGAATCTAGTTTGTCATCTATTTGCGGATGATCTTGCTATTGTCATTACAGGCGCACTAGAGGACAAATTCTTGAAAAACATAATGAAACTCGAGAAGCAAGCTGAAACAACAATGAAAATACAGGAAGAATACGCAAATAATAACTTACTTCCAGTGAATGTAAACAAGACTAAGGCAATGTTGGTGCATGATATCGTCGCTCCACAATATCCTAAAATCAAATACAAAGAAAATAAAATTGAATTCGTGAAACGTTTCAAATATTTAGGTGTTGAAATCACGACAAAATTGGGTTGGGGCATCTACATCGAGAAACGGCTGAAAAAGGCTAGAAAAATATTTAATGCTCTTCGAATAATATTCACGAAAATACCTATCTACCTATACAAAATGAGAAGGAAATTATGCCTTGCTTACGGTTTGCCACAAATAATCTGGTTGTTCTCATGCTGGTTTTTTTATACCGAAATTCAACAAAGAGATATCGACCATTTGTACTGCTCGGGACTTCAACTGGTGTACAACCTTACGCAATGGGATGACTTAACTGTTTACATTATAACGAGGGAGTCTTCACTAAGTGACTACTTGTTCAAATATTGGACTAAATTCAATGCACACTTGAACAAATCTCCAGAAGCAAATCTTTACCAACAAACATTCAGTGCCTATCTCGCTGCAAAAACGCCTCAAAGAGCATGGTATCTCAGTATGGGCTTACGAAAGAATGACAAATATGTTGTACGTTTCTCCAAGAGAGCCCGACACTCGAAAATTGACGTGAGTAATTTCCTAATTGATCATCATCAGCAATATGGGTACTTCAGAAACTCTTCCTTCCTTCTATGCAACTTTATTTATAAATACCTTCTGTAGCGTGTGAATGTACGGTTGATAAATAATAAGGTATAGAGATGTGGAAATGTTGTGTGTAATATACGTTTTAATATCAAAATGTAAATAAGTGTAACAGAGGATAAATCGGAATGAAAAATTCTTCTCGTTCTCTTCTTTTCTCTTGTACATAAATGGTTACATGTGTATCGTATAGTAATTGCCAGTCACTCTCTCTTCTCCTCCACTTAAAGGATGTCACTTTCGATCATGTTGGGTAGCTTCTTGATGCTCCTCTGTTCTCTTCTTTCTCTCAAAATGTCTTATCATTAACATGTTATGTTGTGAACGTAATTGTTATCTTAATCATCTTCTTTTTTATTTTACTCCTTTTCTCGTATCTCCATAATTCTCAACCTAGTTTAAAGGGACAAAATAAATATCCCAGGTCGATTATTCCGGCGACCGGATCCGTTTAAATATGAGACGGTTCCGGTATAATTTCGGTCGGTTCCAATCGAATATAGCAGGTTTCGGTTGGATTCGGCAAGTTTCTTGGCGCCGGATTCCGGTCGGAAGTTTCGAGGAAGTATCCGGCCGGTTCCAGACGGTTTCCGACTCAAGGTTTGCAGGAAGTGGCCAGAAAATAATCGGAAACTTTGTTTGAAAATCCGATCAGAATCCGACGCCAAGGAAATCATCGGAAAGCAAACTTAATCGATCGGAACCGACCGGGTCACAATGACCTGGGTATCGATGTTAAAAAAAATATAAGAATCGAGTTTTTGAAAAGCTTTTTCGAATTATAGACAACTGAAGAAAATCAGTCCAAATAGACAAAATAATCTGTGTTTGAAAGAAAAAGAAAGGTAAATACAAAAGAAATTATTTAAATAATGGTTGAATTATGTTTAAAATCTTGTCGGACATTTCCGAACACTTTGGAACATTGCATAGAAAAATGAATTGGATGTTTTCAGTCAGGCAAGTAACTTATAACTGCCTATTGATATAATTTTTCATATACCTATAATCATTCGCAAAAAATACTGACCATTCAGTATAAAATACTGATCATTTAATTTGTTTCCGATATTTTTTTTATAAATATTGTTTCACTTTATACTAATCAATACAGATGACATTCGAAAAATTGCATGTTTATCTTTATATCTTATCGATATCTTTTTGTTTAAACCTTTGATAGAGGCTGAGGATGACTAAGGAACATTTGTATCACATCCAAACCTTCAAAGATTTTGAGCCCATTGTGAATACATTAAACAGAATTAGAAAGACTGTTCATAGCGAGAAGATACCGTTGATCCTTATTGAAGCTGCACCTTTGATGAGAATCCTGTAGAGAATTCATTGAGCAATTGCCAACGCCTGCTACCCGAGCATACTTCAAAATACTAAGTTACAAATATTTTGAGCACTTCTAGATGTTCAATCAAACGTATGGTAAATGAATATTCATAAAAAAAAGTAAGATTGCTTCCACTATCCAACATGTGGTTGTGTAATTGGTTACCGATGCACTTGAATTGTGTTTTTCCATGTTGATGTAGAATTCAGCATATTTAACGAACAATGCGGTTGTTTCTTGAATACAGAAAATAAGTTCATCAGTAAGATCTCATGATTCAGAGGTTTTTAAAGAACGTAAATAATATTCTGAAAGCGGAGTTCTAAGAGAACGTACTCTAAGGTCTTATTTTTAGACACTAAAAAAGAGACGGAAAAATTAAGAAAATTAGACCAGAATATCAGCGGCTAGAACATAAAGGTAAGCATTAATTTCATCTCCTCTCCTCAACTATAGTTTAATTAAAGTTGAGACATAATGGTTCATGTGAAATAACGACGCCTTGATATAATTTTTCGATAAAGTTTACTTGTCTCAGTACAGAATTGTTCAGTAATACAAAAAAACGATTATTAACTTTATTACTTTTCCATGACGTACAGTAATTCAATATGCAGAGAACTCTATTAGCCCACATTATATTGAAAAGTAGAAATGAAATTAGAATAAGTATCGCCATTCTAACAACAACAACATCCGGCTGCTTTTCGGTTGAATGACAAAATTATCCATTAGTTTTTCATAATTCACACTAGAATTTCTTTAGATGACCGCTACCGACAAGCCACTTTATCTCATATAAAACGACAATACATCGTTCATTCTATTTGAGCTATTGTTTGTTTTGGATATCTAGTCGCCTAAGAGCGTAATAAACAGCGATATTCATGCAGTCATATCCTCCTTGTTTTTTTTCTTTCTTTCGCTGTCTTATCATTGCTAGGAAGATTTTATTCAATAGAGCATCAATATGTGTCAGGAAAAAGAAGTTGATGAATTTGCTATCACTCACTTCGCATTCATTTATCTTTTTAAAACAAAAATATTCTATTCGCGTCAGCAATTGATGAATTATATTTGAACTTCAAACAAGGTAGAATTACAACGTATCAATTTGTCGACGCAAGCAAACAACTTCAGGCCGATTTATTCAAATAGTTTCACGTTGATAACTTCTTATTTCGTCGTTAAGGTTCTTCCTCACTTTGTTGTTTTTTTTTGTTTCTTGCCACCAAGGTTTTTTATGCTAGTTGTGTGCATCTTTTTTGATTATCCTATATTTTCTACTGAGAATCAATACCAAAGGAACTGCGCCGCACTTGTTAAAAATAGGCGACATATGGTTGCTGTTTCGGCGAAAGTAATGTCATCCAGAAAGTGTTCAACATCTTGAATACATTGAAGAAGATATCATGACATCAGGTTTTATGCAATCGAATAAAAAGTATGAAAATGATATCAGCAGGTATTTTTTGAGTAAAGTTTCGCTGTTTCTCAGTAATAAAAATGATGAGCATTTCAAAAGACTTACTTTTTTTGCTTGTCATGACATCGTAAATTAGTGTATTATTTTCATCTAGTCACATCGCTCACCAGTTTCACAGAACGAGAAATCGAAAATTTTCATTCGACTGGAAAAGATTTTCGACACAACTGCTCATCGAAATATGATACATTTTCGTGAGCGAACCAGATCATGCTCTTCAGGAGCGCAATAAGTACTTTTTCGCAAAAAATGCTCACTTCTGAAGCATTCTTTTCAATCTGTCATCTAAAAACAGTTCACTTGTGATATCTTTTATATTAGTATGATGAAATTAATAGATTTATTCGTGTTTCACTGAAGAAATTTTATTTCCGGATTCGTCGATGATATCGTTTCCTACAGAAGATTTCGACATGCTTTACATAAAAATATCTTGCTGCTATTTTCTGCTTCTTGTTATCTATCCAAACAACAAACACTTCATAAATTATAGAACTTTACTTCTATATCACTAAACTTAAACTACTTCAGTGTTTTTTATCTTCTGTTCCTATCTGACATAATTTTGTTTTCAATAAAACATCTGCTGATTTAAATATTCCAAAATTGAAAATCATTCAATGATAAATTAATTGAGAGTGACCAGACAGGAACACACGTTTGGAATCCGAATAACGCCGGTAGTGAAATCACTTCCCAATATAAGCATGTCTGTGAAGAAGTTATCTTGTCGATTATGAACAGTTCTATTCACTTTTCGTGCTGATTTATCGAAAAGTATCAGAGAACTATTTTTTATACAATCGTATCGTGAAAAAAAGCATTGCAGTACGCTCTCAAGGTTTTCCGTTGATCGTTAACTTGCATAGCAAATCTGCACACGATTTAAAACACTAGAAAGTTTGAAATCGCATCAAAACGCCGAGAACGATCAGTTTTACGAATTCACTCAATGAGATCGCAATTACTACATTTTCTATCTAGTGATGGACAGGTAGTTCACCTTGCTCTTGGACCTGTACGTTAAGATATTATATGTTCGTAGTGTTCTTTAACGTTCTACAGTATAAGAACACACATTAGATCTGGTTTGGATAGCCATCTTTCCATTTTCTGCACATATCAGCAATTTAAAACGACTATATTTGATTGATGTCGAGATAAGTCAGGTAGCGATCATCAAATAGGAGTGGATTTTGAGCTTTCAATATAGTATTGCTAAGTTTTGAAAGGTCTCGGTAGTGAAATTGTGAATGAAATAGCAACTCAATCGAGATCGTAGCAAAAGAAGAAACAATGTTCGTCCCCACTTTTGACATGTGAAGGTAAGACCAGTGCTTGTACAACTCCAACATTATCATTAATTAACTACGAACCGTTTGCGACAAGTGAAACAATGGTTAGATCGGAAAAGAATTCTTTTGTACAGATGGAAAAACATATTTTAGAAAAATTGAATTTAGAATTGATTTAATAAGTTTTTGTGAAGATCATTTGTATGTGATGTATATATTTATTTACTACTGATTTCTGTTCTTTCATATATGAGGCGCAATACTTTATATTAATTACGATATCTATCCTTTTT